CTTCTTCTCTCTCTCTCTCTCTCTCTCTCTCTCTCTCTCTCTCTCTCTTTCTCTCTTTTATTATTTTCCATTCTTCAACTCGTTCGCCTTTCATTCCTCTTCTCGTTCTTTTTTCGCGCGGGTCTCGAAGGTCAGAACGTAAACGATTCTTTAAGGTAGCCGGCCACTTCCGATTCAAGAGTGTGTTCCCGCAAGAGGGCTTGATGTAAGAGCACTTACCAGTAGAGGTACGGCTTTTCTCGTTCGATATTAACGGAGTTGATGGGGTCCAGACGGAACCATGTGGTAAACGTGAAACCATTCTCGTGTGGCCATTTTGCGAGCGGCGGCAGAACGATTGCCTGAAAATTGTCGTTGAGATTAATTAAACAAAACTCGAAGAAAGATGAAGGTCTATCGCGAGATGGATTTGTGATAATTATTCGTTTTGTGTTTCAAATTTTAATTGGAATATGTAAGTCGTTTTATTTTTGAGAATATGTGTTTTATGTGTTTTTTCAAATGATACAATGATATTACATAAATTTATGTCAGTATAGAAATTATAGAGAAATAAAAAGGAAATTATAAATAGTTATGCAATTTCTCTCGAAGAGAGTATTACATTTTTATTTTTGTAACAATTTTTGTTATGTGAAGAAGAGAAAAGAATTTTTCAGGATAAAATTCAATTTATTATCGATCAAAGGCAATTCTTTCTTAAATAATTCAATAAAAAAAGAACAATTTATCATCTTCGCAAATTGAAGGTATATTTAAATAGTTCTTTAAAAGAAAGCAATGAAGTTTCTATTTCATAAATTTTTGCATTGAATATACGCCTTCTTCGTAACTTTGCCTGAACTTGGTTCAAACAGCCGCTTCTTCTTTGATTCATACTCTTTCAAAATTGTACATTAAAGGAAACGTTCGAAACAGTTCCCTTCGAATAAGAAACTTCTTTTGCTTAACGTCCTCTGTCATATCGAAAAGTTTCCATCTCGACGAGAAACTCATTGAATATCTAGCAACGTACCCCGCATTGGGCGACATCTGTTTCGATCAGTTTTTGTAAAGATTCCGCGTTTCTACGCCATCTTCATCTTTTTATTCTTTTTATTCATTTTATAAAAATGAATAGCTTCTATGTTAAAAATAAGGTATATATATATATATTTATATATTTTTCTTTGATGGAAACAGATGCATAACTCGAGAAGATTTTATTTAACTTTGAAATAAATGATTTATACTTTCTTTACACGTTTAAAAGTAAGTAAAACTCCAACATTTTCAACATCTGGTTGCGTTATATATAAAATGGAATTTTTCAGAAATATATATCATAGACTGTTATTTTTAAAAATAAAAAAATATCAAATACTGGATATTAATAAATTTAATTTCAGTACAAAGGATTGAAGCATAAAATAAAACAAATTGTTTAGAATATTAAATATTTTTTCCATATTCAAAATTGTTTCAAATCAACGCGAGCTATATTCTAAACACTGTCTCTTTAACGTTAAAGAGACACATGTTCAATCTTGATCCTGTTCCAAGACGATTCGAGCAATCATTTTCCATCCGAACCAGACCGTGTGAAGTTGAAGAATCAATACGTCATTTGACTCGACGGATTAAGCTCGAGCAGAGGTTGCAGAAGTGAAACAAGGCGAATTTTCTTATCGAAAGTTTAATGGAGTTCAGAATCGTAGGGCATCTTCGACGTGGCCGTAACAAGGATATCCGGCGAAGGGTGAGGGAACGGTTTGAAGAAGGATGGAAATCGACTTACCGATCCCTTTCTACCGGGGAAACTAAAAAACACATCGGGTCCGTTCCGTTGCGGCATCTGACGGAGCACGTTTAACAGTTTCGCCGAATGTCGTGGCTGTGGCACAAACAAAATATTACGATTAGATTCTGAAAATAAATTTTTAATATAAAATTTAATTTATTAAAAAATTTTATATCCAAATTTATTTCTAAGTTCGTTTATTCCGTAATAGAGATTTATTCTATTATTATAGAAAGAGAATTAATAAATTTTTGATTAATGATAATTTTTGTATCATAAAATTACAAGTTATTGATTGCAGGAAAATTTAAAAATCGGAGGGATGATTCTTGAAGTCAAAGTAAAAACGAAAATCTAGAATGAAATATATGATGATCGTCTAGAAGGAAAGAAATATATCCATCGTATGATTCGATTTAAACTCGATTCAATTTTACTAAAATTTTATTAAAAAGTTTAAACTATTATAATTTCGAAGATAGTAACATTTAATCGATGAATGAACGATTATATCAATATATATAGTTCGGTTTATTTCCTTCTCCTATTTTTGATGACGAAATTTTTACTTTCTTTTCATTATTTTTATTTTAAATCACGTTCATTCCTACAACAGGAAAACTAGAAAAAAAAAAACAAGAACTAAATATATTTCTATTCTTGATTTATTTTAAAAATCGTGAAAAGAATGTTCGAATGGCTAGAGATTCTACTGTACATTATACATAATAGATATAGGAAATAAAAGGAAGAAGGAATGAGTTGAAAATTGCAAAGCTGCGTCGGAAAGTTAAGAGTTTCGTTCACTTCTGATTCAGGAATAAGTTTTCTCTCTACGGAAAGTTTTTCTTCCTTTTCTTCTTCCTTTTCTTTTTCATAGATTCTTACCCATTTCCCTTTTACAGCTTTCATAGCACCGAATAAAAGTTTCAGCTCCTTCACCGTTATGCTGTAGCTGGCCAACACCCCAAGCATGTCGATTAATAGATCTATCGAACACACGAAAATTGGGTGAGTCGCGCGTATTCGTACGTTATATTCCCGGAAATAGGATTAGAACGATAAGGATTTACCTGCGACGACAGTTTCCGCGCGGGACAATCGAAGCAGCACGTGTTCGATCAGGCTTACGTCTGTACACGCTTGTAGATTCCGCACGCTCTTCCTCAAAATGGCGATGAACACGCTCCATATCTCGGCCTGGAAACGAACATTCGTGAGAAAAATTTGTGTATCAAAGAGAATTTAAATATACATATATATATATATATTCAAAGTTGGTTCCAGCTATATAAATAAAGAACAAATTCCTTTGCTATTTCCACGAAATATCATCGTAGAACTTTTTGCTTTCAGAGAAAATTATCTTTCTATCCCAATAAAATGGTGGATTCAGGTCGCGAGCTTTTGCCCCACTTTTGGATAAAACGATTATCGAATATCTAGTAAATAATTAAGACTAATTAATAATTCGCAAACAAACAATTAGTTCCATTTCCCGCTCTATATTTGTATCAAATTTATCAAATGCACACACGCATTGATTTATAGATAATTCAGACTAAATATATAACTGAATTATATATTGGATATCTGTATCTGATTAATAACAATCTCGCATAGAAACGGGAGCAAATTCGATTATATCGTTCGAACAATCGATAAAATAATTAATACGCAATTTATTAATAAAACTCGAAAGCAATCAATTCCCTTACCCCACCGATCTCTCTCCACCGAGACTCCTTCGAGGCCTAACTTTAACTTTAATTGGCCCGCATTATAAGTCGCATTAATCGAGGCATTAGCGCCCATATGCACTGACAACCGTAAGTTGTCTGCCGTGGTTTACGTAATGCTCGAACTATTGCACAACAGAGGCTGATAAAGTTATCCGCCAACACCCGATCGGAGATCAAAAGTGAACCAGGCAACGAACTCTCGTAATCCGTTCGCTAATACGATGAAGCGAAGTCGGGACGACATAATCGCGGGCGCACCCAAAACCGAGGCAAAACGAGCCCAGCGTCGAAATCCTGAAAATGCCGCGGGAAATTTCGCCGGCTTGGAATTCCTGAAGTTTCAACGGGGATACTGGAGTTTAAGAGTGTTCCATATATCGGATAACGGTGATACCGTGGTTTTTCGTACGCGGATGGAATTACAGGGACGCCGCGAGTTAATCCTCCGAGGGAGAAGCGCGTGGAAACGACGAGTAGGGACGAGCCCTCTCTCCAGGGAACTGTAACAATCTCGTCGATAAACCGGATCCATGGGATGGGAAATCGAGTAATTGTTCCTGAATAATTAAGGAGAATTGAATCGGGATCGTGTGGAAAGAAGGGTTTGGAATAGAAAGCAGTGTTATATATTTTGCTATCTTAGCGATAATTAAAAATATAGTAAGAATTTGTTGATATTTTTATATGTTGTTTGTTAAGATTTGGATGCAGATCGTTTCGATTCTCGTAAATCAAATATTTTTAAAAAAGAACTTTTAATTGGAAAATGTTGTGAGTAATATCTTTTTTTTTTGTATTTACTTATGTACATACAAATTTGATATTTTATAAATTGTTATTTTGTAAATTTTATATGTTTACGTAGTAAAAAGAAAAATGAAGTTGTAAATTAATATTAAGTTTTTGACCTATGCGCTTCGAAGATCGGAAAAATTTCTAATTAGTAGTTCGATAAGCTATGTAGCGGGCTTCGTATAGTTTAATTAAAAACAAATTTAATCTCTTTGAACTTTTGCCTTCCTTTGATATATCTTCTGACACGTTTGTGCTTAATACATGGGCACAATTATTATATTTATTTTCACAGGTGTTGCAGAAAAATATTTTTTATCCTTATTTTTTACACAAATTTTAATTTTAGTTTTATAAATCGTATATCTTGAAAATTGAAAACGACGAAATTTTTATTTATTAATTATCAGCAATAAGAATCGAGATTTTCTATTTTCAAATATTTATTTTAAATCGTTATATAATCTTCGTTTTATATTTTTTATCGTTTAGCTAGATTTTTAAAATTATAATTTTTGCTTCTATGCTTTTGATTTTTCAATTCTTCAAAATATGTAATAACATTTATTACACCGATTTAATTCATTGAGTGCATTTCGTAATTAAATGGTGGTAAAAAAAGTGGTACATATTGCAAGCAAAGCTTTCATTAGAAATTATATATCGAAGTTTATAGCCTAAATTACGTTCTATAGCTCGCGGCGTAGAATACTATGTACATACGTGTAAAGAATACGACGTACAAGAGTAGTTAATCAACTTATTAAATTGGAATTTCCTCTTTTAATTGCCAATGAGAAATAATATTCAACATGGATATGCATTATACAAATATATATTCCATATTTGTTTTACATTAAATGCATCAGAACACATTATAATTATAATATCTAAAAATATAAGATTATATTTATTCCTTGAAAAAAGGAAGATAAAAAAGCCATCGTCAAACAATGTTTCGTTAATATTTTCAAATTTTCCTTCAAAATTCTTTGCGATTATGTCAATCTATATCTTTTCAAAAAAAAAAAAATAATAATTCACAAACATCAGTAAAGTTTTTCGATAAAATTATGTTTAAAATAATAGAATCATATTTCGTTAATCTTATATATTTCGTATATTCAAAATATCGAACTACTACTAGCGACATCTAGAAATCAGAGAGCACGTTCGTCTCGTTTAACGAAAGTGTTAAAAAAGACATGGAAAGAATTTACGGGCTAACGTTGTTATTTTTGATATCGAATTTATTCAATGGATGTCTTCCTGTAATAACGCGATATTGTTTTCCAACGATATCGTTATCGTTTCGCGTTCAGACGAAGTGCATCGATGCCGTAACGCGCATGGACAATAAAACATAACCTAAATGAGATGTCGCTCGGGTAACACCGAATTCACCGTGGATCGTTAATGGTGATTCAAGATTTATCGTGACGATATATCTTTTGATCGAACACGCGATTACACGTGTCCCGGCGAAATTAAATTTTTCCCTCGGTTATCGTAGATTTGTATAAATTCCCTGTCGAATTTTCATTGATTTCGCGTGATTTATTTTTCGATTAATCGCGGAATATATAAGTGTTTAATTAAAATTTAATTCAATTTGTTATTTACCATTGATTTTCTATAATAAATTCGAAATATATTAATATTAATTATTGAATTGGTAATCATAAATAAGTTGATGTTTAAAAAACAATTCTCCTTTTGTATATTTTTTTCGATTATCGTTTTATTGTGCGTCGATTTTAAATTGTGTATTATAGCGTTATTTATTGATTGGAATTTAAATTCAAATTTGAATTAAACTTTCGTTAATCTTGATCTCGATATAAATATTATATTTAATCAGTTAAATGTTCTACCTAAAAAAAGTTCAAGTATCGATTTCAATTTACATTTTCAGAAATTTCTTCGGTATTCTCTCGCTATTTTTGCGGAAAGTAACATATATCGTTGAAAGCATATATGTCGCGAGGATCGCAGCCGATTTCTTGGCAATCATGTTTTTCATGGGATCGTTCAATTTCGTCTCTGGGACTCCCTCCATTTCGCTTGGTGCATTAAATCGTACTTGCGGGACTGCCACCTACTTTTCAACAACCGTGCCACGCTAAAAGCTACCACCCGTGTACGGCTTTTAAAGCTGATTGCGACACCAAAGAGTGCTATTCTTTCGATAACATTACCATGTTTGATGGACGTCATTCCTTTTTTTTACCTTCAGAAATTTTTCCAATTGCAAGGTCGATTTATTCATATATCAGTTCACGTAATTTCTCCATATTTTGAAGAAATTAGAAGAGAACATGTGAAAACACGTCTTACACGATTTTTATACAAATTGGAATAATTTACTGGAATCAGATCAGAATTCAGAGAAAATGATTCAGTAAAAAAGTTGATAAAGAGTAAAATTGATAAGACAAGTAATAATATAAATATCACATAGAGAATGTAATATCGTTTCAAAAGTTTCACAAAATTATTTAATATACGACGTATTCACCGTATTAAATAATTTAAATTTTATTCGAGTAATTTTAAAACAATTTTAAAATATTTCAAATTTACGGACAAGCCAAAGTTTAATTAATGCAGAGAAGAGAAGTTAACGAAGATTGTACTCGTTAATTCAACACACAAGAAGTTATAATAATATTCCATGGGTTATTAATTCACTTAAACGATCAATTGATTACCACTTCTTCGATTAAATATCGTGGCAAGTTCAGTTTTATATCGAGTACAAATATTTAATTTAATTACAACACACTTTGCAATATAAAAAGATAATATCGTTAAATTCAATTTCAAGGGAATTTAAACGAATTGAGGGTAAACTTAATTTTCCAATCTTTCTTTCTTTCATCATCTTCTAATTCTCACGAGAGATCGTGCCTCGATTATTTATTATTATCTCCAGAAAATCCCAATGGAAAAAGACTGGAATTCCGGTATATTTCGTTACGTCGCGTTTATCCTTCGAAACTATCCATCTTTTATTTCGACCATTATTTCCCCGTATTTTTCCCTAGCATCAATCCAAGGAAAGATATTAACGTGCCCTATATTTCGCCAACGATTTTAATCTCAATACGTCTCTGGATGAATTACGATAAGGGAAGTGACGTTCGCGACGTAATCTTCCGGTGATATCGGGAAGCGAAATCGGAACTCTATTTACGGGTACTCTCTTTTCAAAACAGAGAAAATACAGTGCTCGAGTGGAAAAGCACGAAAAAGAAGAAGGGAAAGGGAAGATGAAGGAGGGAAGAAAAAAAAAAGAAAGAAAAAAGAAATCGTACCGATTTCGTCGTTAAAAAGATTTAAAATCCACGAGGAATTTAGAGGGAGAACTATGGTTGAAGAACCGACCTCGATTGCACTTTCTTTACAAGAATTACCGCTTCACATTTTTAACGACAGTCCAATGAGAAGAATTCACGAGATATCAATGTAACCGATATTATTAAAGCTTTAAACTTGTTTCTTTGTTCCGATTTAAAAAAAAAAAAACCAGTTCGTATTATCGCGAATATTTTTCAATTATTCCAGCTACGTTGCACGCTTTCGTCGTTTGCATATTTAAACATGGCCGTTAATTAAGCTCGAGTTGATAACCTCGTGATGCGGTTGTATCGGAATAATGAAAAT